TACAAAGGAAAAATCTTGAATTGACCATTACCACAAAAATGTTCACTCACCGGCAAGACTCTATTTCTTGCGAGTTTTATATTAGAACGATGTTGGTTAATTCGGGCATATGTCCATCAGTGACATGTGAGACGAGATATGACTCTACGAAACTTCCTGGTGTCTTTTGAGCAAATAATAATATTAATCTAATATATAAACCGCACAAATTTAACAGATACAAATAATGTACATGTTATTCCACAGGTAGACATACATTGAAGGGGCCCAAGGAAGGAGACGCAGTTGCTTTAGAGTTTGTTCGACACCTTTGGGTATTTGCGTCCCATTTCCCATGAAATAATCTAGACTGGACAACCTGCTCTAAATGACGTCAGGCTGGTTCCTACGTCACTGCACTATTCTGACTTCAGAGACAGGTAGCGGACAGCCATCTTGCCAGGAGGAATTCCTCCCGGCAGTGCGCATCTCTTTCTGCGCACATTACCAATGTAAACAAAAACATGATCGGACGCTGAAGTATGCAATAAAGATGTCAACATCAATTAAATGCAGTGGTAGCTTGTGGATTAGAGCCGAAACTATGCAATTTTTTCTCAATAATGGAATTTAACGGAACAATAATTAATACTTTGGAATTTGAGAAATACGGCAATAAAACAAATGAAAGATGAGTATGGGCGATTTGCCGTAGCCGGTAGGCCTACGATTGTATCTGATTATAAGTGCTGATTTTAAACTGTCGCTTTGTTTGGGTTTAAGATAACAATAAGATGTCGCACGATCAACGTTTAATTTGGCTAGAGCAATCTTAGACATTAAAGATAAGATAAACAAATCTTCTAGCTTATTCATTTTAACGCTTAACGCCATCATTAGGGATACCTGTCTATTTATAGTACCTGTCTCTATATGCAAGTCAGAAAAGGAGTGACGTAGGAGCGAGTCTGACGTATTAGAGTAGGTTATCTAGTCTATGAAATAATCATGTTCTAATGCTCAACGTCAACGTCTCGATGACGTCAATGTTTCGATGACGTAAATGGCAGGTGTCAACCAAAGCCATCACTCGGCAAATCTCGACAGATTCCGTTACCCTACATCTAATGTCGGCTGTATGACAGTAAGTGATATGTACCTACGTCCATACATTTGCGATGCGGCTGCCGGTTTACTTTATTAACAGGAAAACGTGTCGCTTTTACAAAAAAAGTCCCAAATTGCGTCTTTTGTAGAGTGTATATACCTGAATGAGCAGAGATATTGTCTCAAGGCTGCTGGTTTGATAAAATTCCCTGGTAATTCCCCAAACCGAATGCCAAACGTGACGTTTGTTGACACAGGAGCGTAATTGAAAATGTCACCCACAGACTGTTGATTAAAAAAAAATTCAGACCGGAACCGGATACACTGGGCAAAAAAGGCAATGCGCATGTCAACTTACCAAATCTCGACCAAACGAGATCACGTAACCATATCTATGACGTAACTAACAAAAATAATTGTACACACCAAATCTCGCCCAAGCGAGATAACGCGCCTCATCGAACTATTTCTATGACGCGTCTAATCAATGACGTCACATATTTTTTTTTACGTCAATGAAAATAATTCTCACACTTTTTTTTTCTTTTTTTAAAAACAAAATTAATGTATAAAATTTAGATCTAAATAAAAATCAATTTTGAAAAACTAAATTATTTAACATTTTTTGTATCACTTGAGAAAATTAATTATGAAGGTTTTATTTGACAATAATCAGCTTCGCTCTACTCAGGCAATGCCTGTTACATATTACACTCTCCACAGAAATTTCCATGGGGGCAGCCATTTTTCATTCGGAACCTGTAAAATAGTTCAAATATGGCGGAAATGGTCATACAGCCGAGATTAGATGCGTAGAATCTGTCGAGGTTTGCCGAATGCCAAAGCCATGTATAGGGAAAGTTACGACGACTCATTTACAGGCGCCATTTTGGGTCCCAACTATGACGCCACAAAAACTATGACGTCATGGCGTCATATAGCTTTACTTAACCAAACGTTTTAATTTATCCTAAAAAAATGCCCGCCATCAAATGAAAAATACATTTGTAAATTGATGTTTGTCAAATTCGATTTTTCGACACTCTTCGCTTGCATAACCACTCTGGTTAAAATAAATTATTTATCCTACCACCACTGAAAGACACTGATTACGATATAGCGCTCTCGATAATTCCTGAAGAACGCCAAATTGAATTATGTTAATCATGTAATTTTGCCATGGCCGATTTTGAGTATGATTTTGTCTGACGTATTATCATTACACCAAACTGCATTGGTTTCTTTTGCAATTTTTTTAGGATAAATTAAAACGTTTGGTTAAGTAAAGCTATATGACGCCATGACGTCATAGTTTTTGTGGCGTCATAGTTGGGACCCAAAATGGCGCCTGTAAATGAGTCGTCGTAACTTTCCCTATACATGGCTTTGACATTCGGCAAACCTCGACAGATTCTACGCATCTAATCTCGGCTGTATGACCATTTCCGCCATATTTGAACTATTTAAAGGTTCCGAATGAAAAATGGCTGCATATAAATATAGATATAATATTTAGGGTCTAAATTTGACCCTACAGTATAATAGCCATGCATGTTGTTTTCATTGTAATTTTCTTTCTTTTTTAAAACATGTATTTTAAACATGTACTAATATATTTGGGCACTCGAATGTATTTGGGCACACTCCTCCAACTCAAAGACTGCATATTTCTGTCCCAGATTATGACTGGTCAACCCTTATGAAAATGTCCTATAGAAAAAGTTCCTAGAGAAGTTTGTGGGATTCAATAGAATGTTATAGAATACTACAGGAAAACGAATTAATTCTGTTTTCACATGGCTATAGTTTTGTATACCCCTATAGAAATTTTCCCATAAATATGTAGGAAAAACTATAGGATATGCGCTACAGAAACTGTAGAATATTTGGGGCAGATCAACCCTTATGAAAATGTCCTATAGAAAAAGTTCCCAGAGAAGTTTGTGGGATTCAATAGAATGCTATAGAATACTACAGGAAAACGAATTAATTCTGTTTTCACATGGCTATAGTTTTGTATACTCCTATAGAAATTTTCCCATAAATATGTAGGAAAAACTATAGGATATGCGCTACAGAAACTGTAGAATATTTGGGGCAGGTATTTTCTACAGGGCTTTGAATTCTGTAGAATTCTATAGAATTTTATCCTATAGAAATGAGACACGCCTACTCAAAACACTATAGAATTTCCTATAGAATTCTATAGACACCTACACTGGTATTCTATGGGACTTTTTGCTAAGAAAGAGAGAAATGTGGTTTAACGTCGACTCGACTAAAACTATGGGAGTTCGAACAGATAACTTTTGTATTACGACTCGAAATGACTAATGGTCTTGCGTCAAATAAGGACAATTATGCAATGGACGTATTTTGGATAGGCTATATACAAAGTGATTCACTACGTACTACTTCGACATCTATACAATCCGTTAGTGTGATCGCATGATTGGACGTAACCAACGTGTTTCAATTTAAAAAATGATATGCCATACTTGAGCAACAAAATAACCTTGTTGTGGAGATTGGCCTCTGAATTACCCCCTCTATCACTCTTGTCTACACACGTTTCTTAATTTATAACTTTGTGTTTCCGTCACCTGTGTATCCTACCATTTTATGATTGAGTAGGACTATGTTCATAATGACACTTAATATAGGCTAATCAATAAAATTATGGCCTTCAAGCTGTTTACTAGTTGATTATCGAGATACGACCGATTAATATTAATAAATTATCATAAACAAATGATATTCATTGTTTTCTTATAATATTCTTCAAGCAGTAAGAAACCCCCCCCCCCCCCCCGCCAAAAAAAAACCCCCAACAAAACAGCGGGACAGCGCAAAAAATAAGAGAGCAAACGTATTAGTGGTGTGTGGTAAGCATGATAATAATCTAATAACTCTAGCGTAACATCTTTACAGGCAGATCTATGCATAATTTTACTTATATCTTGTCACAGGGTTTTAATCAAAATGAATACAATGATTTTATCAGCATGCAAGTAAATTCACCTTGTGAATTATCTTATTTTAGTATAGGCTTGCCATAACACAGCCCTATAGTTTTGAAGATATACCCCTTCATCCGGGAAAAGAGCAGTTTATAGATTTTATTTCGAATGCAGATCGTTAAAAACTGTTCATATGTATCTCAAAAGGAGATAATTTAATGTAAAGATTGTTTACATTATGTTATTCAGCTGAAATAAATATATCTTTTAAAAATCGTTCAAGTGGATTGACAGCCTTGTAAAGATAGCAGAATAGTATTACCTTATTTGTGTACGACACATACAGATGGCGGTGTGAATTCAATATAAAGTTGAAAGGCCGTAACTCAAAGTTAATAATGAATAATTTGGATAATATTTGGACCAAAATGAGATTTTGTGTTAATAAAAACATATGATCGTAAACTCTATCATTAATCTATATTCTGACCTGCATTCACACCGTCAATTTAGGTGTATCCTTTTCCTTTTAGATAATGGTGTAGGTCAGTGTGGTTTTCATTCATTTCCTTAAACATTTATTCAATTAATATGAATAATGCATGTCAAATATTATTTATTTCATAAATTTTATTTTTCATTTTTTATGAGTAAATCATACATACAGGCAGCTAAAACAATACATTTAAATTGGTCGAAACTCGCGCTAAACAGCCTATATCTTTGACCGTGTCAAATATGGTAAACCAAACGATATTTCTTATCACTGTTGACCTATTTATTGGTAATTAAACTAACAGTTTCATAAGTAGAAATTATCATCCCCAACACAGATAAATCTGTGACAAATGTGAGTAAGACACTGACTTTATAACTAAACACGTTTTCATATTATACACCCTGCATGTTGTCAAAGAAGTATTGCTATCTTTGTTGTACGGTGAAAGCTCAAGTCACGTGACCTCTTCGTCATCAAGCGACGCGTTAAGTCAAAGCACCTTTCAAATTACTCTGATGCCCGTTTTTCTCTTGTTTATATTTATTAAGGAAAATAATGTCGGATAGATTAACAACATGGATTGTAGCGGTGATGTTGATTATATTCAACACTTTACAGATTTTGGGTGAGTGTTAATAACATGGTCAAACAAATCATAGGTGTGTCTTCATACCTGTGAGATTGTTAGCCGCCCGCAATTTTTCCGATCAATACATGTATATTTCGCGCATTTGCCGTTTGCTAGAATATTCCACTATTAAAAACAGATAATTTGTACAAAATTTTTATTTGACATACACCCAATTACTACTTATACACTTATTGCTTATTATTCTAATTCCATTAGAATATAGAAATTATAGGTTTATGCCCATTTGCGTTTGCATTTTATGAGTTACCTGATAAGAATTTCAGGGGGGTTAAAAAGGAAACACGCATAAATTGTATGCATATTGTATTATTACATGGAGAGCGAACCTTATAGTTGTTAACCATTGCTGAAAATATTAACATTTAACTTAGCGAAACTTGGTTTAAAAGACTTGTATTTGTATTTACATAAAAGGTATTGTATAACTAACCAGTTTATTTTGTCTTAAACCAAACAATTAGAGAGCTGTAGTGGCCATATTTATTTACTTCTTAAACAATTAAACAAAGATGGTGGTGTTTTTAGGTCTTTTATTTAGATGGACATGCTTCGTGGTTCCTGTCGTTTAGCCGTTTTGTATACGTAACACTACTCTATCCATGGAAACTTGTTTAAAATCTGTGGCGAATTTTTTTTCTTTTTGCGTCTTCACCATTTTAATTTTTAGATTTCCGATGTTTAGAGAATAATAATGAAATCTGAAAATTCACCCTTTTCCTTCAATATACATATATAGACCGTTCAATTTTGAAATGTGTGTGAACAATCCGATTTGTTGCGCTTTGATAAATATTTTATTTCTGAATCCCATTATATTTTTATGACTATCGTGTCCGAGTGAAACGTCCAGTCATCACATAAAAATTGAATCTACCATACGGTTATTGTCTTGTATGTAATGATACTAGCAATACCGTGATTCTTCAAATTCTAACTATCATTGGTTCTTTATGTAAACGCAAATGTGTACATGGGAGCATCATGGTTTGTACTTCACCCGGATTATTAGGTGCACTATGGTTTTGCCTGGCCCACTCCCTTACTGGATTTTGCTTGTACTAGTATTTTATACAAACCTACAAGCAGAGATAATACTATATCTTCTCAATATAACAAGAAACATATATATACAATAAAACAGCAAGTGTGTAAAAAAAAAAGCGGCTATTCAGTTTGTTCATAATAAGGAAATGTACACTTAGGTGGGCGAATACTCTAATGGAAAGATTAGCATTATTGAATGGAAAATAACAAGATTTTTGATAATTGTATTAAATCTTTAATAACAGAATACCTGTTTATCGGTGCATGAAGTAGGTTTTTTTGGTAGTAACATCGAAAAGTAACATGGTAGAAAGTAACATCGGGACAATCACCATCACCAGAATTACCAAATAGATTATTCGAAATATAAATATTAGGTGTAAATTATTCCCCTTACCAATTTAAATAGTGACATCATATGGGATACGTCCCTCAATTATCTGTGGTATAATTTCGCCGATATTATTATATATTACTCAACTATCATATCGCCTTGTTCTATATTGGAGAGATAAACACTGATATAGGCTCAGTTTTATCTGAACTATGTTTCGATTATCGGATTTACATTCTCCCATATTTAAATGCATCCTGTGAAGGCGTGTTGATCTACCAATATAATTATTTAGGTGCTCCCCTTTCGTGTCATCCCAACGACAATCCATTCAAGTGGAGACTTCGCTTCCAACTTCACAATGTTAAGTGGTTACCACTAAAAAATATGTTGATGTTCATTCTCTTACCACAGATATATGGGCCAAATTACTACCAGAATCATTAACATCTTCGTGAACATGGTGCTGATACTAATCCTCATCATCACCAGTATTTGATCCATCTTCGTTCAGCCTTGGCTGTGGAAGAGACATGAAATAATATGCTTTGTTATCATTTAACGTAAAATCATGGGGTATTCCTTTTCTTTACGAAGGATATAGACCAGAATTACCTCTTTACACCTGTGTCGTCAACGACCTTGTTATCACATTTTATCAGTTTAAAACGATCCATCAAAAATAAAAACAAGACATGCATGAAACCAAAAACACCTGGGCCCTTATTCACGAAAACTTAAACTAAGTTACAACCGAAATTTTAAGAAATACTGCAACTTCATTGGATATATGCAAATTGATTTTACTGGTCAGCCAATCGAATTGCAGTATTTCTTAAAATTTCGATTGTATCTTAGTTTAAGTTTTCGTGAATAAGGGCCCTGGTTACAAACAATTAAAGAAACGATTGCACAATATACTTAATTTTACGCGAATTTCAAAATATATGGATAATGCTTTAAAAACAGGCTATGATTTCTTTTGATGATTGCTCTTTTGGAATCTCAAAAGCTCTCAATGCTTAATAATCCCAAACGAACAATTTTATACAGTATAAATATTTGTCAACTACTGGTGGCTTTATGAACATACGAAATTTTAAAATAAAAGGCCGATAATTCCGCGCCCAACCATTACGATTAGAATTTCCCCGGGTTCAGGAGCTTCACTGGTCCATATAGAATTTTTGATATTTCAAAGCAAGTCCCTAGTCCTTCAGATTGATTGAAATCATAGACCGCGGAGGTGAGAGAGAGAGAAATGGGGTTTAACGTCCACTCGACACAAACTAGGTCATTTCGGGACTAACATATGGTTTTAATTTTATTTCATTAATTCGCTTGTCCTTGTCACGTACAACCGGGGATTCGAAACCACGCCAGTTGACTCAATAACAGGCTTTATGATACAACGCGCACGTGCTAAGCATTCGGCCATCCAACCCCAGACCGCGGGGATCGTTATACATAGTAAGAAGTCACGTTATGCGATGCTGACATAACCATATTATACAATATGAATACTATTACTTGATCTTAGTTGACCTAATTAACGTTGACCACACGTCATTAACACGACTTCATTCTGTTCCAGCCCTAAAAATAACTTTATAAGCTACACAAATGCGCCAAAAGTTTAAATTATTTATGACTCACAAGCTCATCTGTAACATTACGCCTAAACAGTTCTGATATTTTGGCGTAGTCTTTAACAACAATACAACCATACTTTTCGACAATTAGCTTAATCTCTTATGATATTATTTGACCTTACACGAAAACATCAAAATCACATTATGATAAAAATGTAGTTTAAATAAGTCAATTAACGTTGAAGGTATTTATGAACAGCTAGCACACCTTAACAGTCCAAATATAATTCAAGCACAACAGATTTTAACCGACAGTCAAGTGGACTCGCCAAATGACAAAAATCCGATAAAAGAAAGTGGTGGCAGCTGTTCATGATCAGTTTGTCCAGTATCATACCAATTGTTGGATGAAATATGTTGTAAATATTGTAAGCGAGTTATGATAATAGTAGTAACGCACCAAGTAAAATGACTCGACGTATGAAATACAATGATTAAACTACTTACATTTCCTTTAAAAATATGAAATAGTTTCGGAATGAATTCAGCTTAATTTTAGGGCATACACCTTGCGCCAAGTAGATAAATACACCAAAATTACTCCGCACTGTGTATAAAAAGGTAGTAGTAGAGATGCTGTGGTTGTGGCCTCACGAATAATCAATGTATTATTATATTGTATAAAATATGATTGGTTTCCACCATATTTCATATTCTATACTCTGCAATTATTTACCTGTTAAATGTAAATCGGTTGTCTATTCTTTTCAAAGAAATAACCCGATTGATTTTCAACGATTGTCAATCTGATTAAAACACAGATCCTATTTCTTTTCGTTTTTATAGTTCGAAATTTGGTTTTATTTGTCTGTACTACACTAAGATCTGGAAGAATTGTTATATAACCTGCGTTCTGGATGGCGTGAGGGTTTAGCCAATGAAGCCATCTGTTACGGCGACTTCTTGGCGTGCGATGCACGGAACTGTGGGTAAACCACTAGAGACGTCAACGCTGATTAACTAATCAATGAATGACGTCATAGGTCACAAGCCGCCGGTAGGACCCCTGACGCGGCCTTCCAGTAAAACTAGTAAGATCTTCATGTAGTACACTAGGCCATCGAAAGTATAAAAAAACGAAACGAAATATAGATCTGTATTTTAATCAGATTGAACGATTGTCGGTGATAACTGTCAGAGTTATTCTCCTTTTTGTCGATATCGTGTTTGTACTACATTAGAAATCTGTTTAGTTCATACATACACGGACGATTTGGCTGCTGGGGGCCGTGTGTTTCGTTGTCTGGCAATCTATGATTAAGCATCGTATGAAAACAAAATTCCGATGTAAAATAGAGAGATAGTAGAGCATAAACTTCTGAACTGGCATTATGTGCTTCAAAAAGCACATCATAATACAGGTTAATATTTGAATATCTTTAATGTGAAACCCTGAAACTATACGTACAATACGAACAGTATTTTGTAATGTGTGTGGACGTGTGTTTATGGCGTACTAGCAGGATACCCGGCTTCGCTCGGGGGTCATAACTCCGAAATCGGAAGTGGTAGACTAACGCCTCCTGGTCTATGTTACTCCCCGGTCCGAGCTACCCCTATACTCCAAATTTCAGACTCGGGGCAGACCTAGTGTAGCCGCCAACCCCGAACAGACCGGCTTCGCTCGGGGGTCATAACTCCGAAACCGGAAGTGGTAGACTAACGCCACCTGGCCTATTTTACTCCCCGGTCCGAGCTACTCCTATACCCCAAATTTCAGACTCGGGGCAGACCTAGTGTAGCGGCCAACCCCGAACAGACAGACTTCGCTCGGGGGTCATAACTCCGAAATCGGAAGTGGTAGACTAACGCCACCTGGTCTATGTTACTCCCCGGTCCGAGCTACCCCTATACTCAAAATTTCAGACTCGGGGCAGACCTAGTGTAGCCGCCAACCCCGAACAGACCGGCTTCGCTCGGGGGTCATAACTCCGAAACCGGAA